TGCGACGTTGTTTCAACGTTATTTCAACGTCATTGTGCCGGCTGGGTTGTTTCTTCGTCTTCTTAATAATAAAATAACTTCAGGCATTATCTTTTCACAACTAAAACACCCCTTATTTAAATATTCGTTTGTTGGCGATATCCAGAATCTATGCCGTTTTCGGATGCTAAATTTTCAAAACTTAATTCAAAATAAAAAGAAGATAAAAATAGCACTTTCTAAAAGTGAAATTCCCTCCGAAGTTGAACAAACTTTGAAACATGCAATAGAGTGCTGGAATGCGAAAGAGCAAAAAGGAATTTTTAAACAAATTCTGGAGGAAAAAATTCTTAAGTGAAAATCACGAGAAATAACTTTCTTATTTTTCTTTTTACCTTGTAAGTTACATTGGGTGTTAAATAAATGAAATAATAAATTACCGCTTTTCGGCTTTGTTTTTTTAATTTCCATTATTTTTTTTTTTAATTTATTTAAATTTAATCTACAACGGAAAAATCTGTGAAGCTGGGAAAGCAACCAATCCCAGCTATGGTAGATCCAGTATAGATGATTACCAAACAAAAATAAAAAATAAATAAAATTATCGGCACATTGAGTTAATAACATACCCAAACGACAAACTTAAGTACCAATTAAACAGTTTTTTTTGGAAGTGAGTTAAAAATATTTTAAATTAAATATTTTATTTTTACGTAGCGTGAAACCTAATGCATTTTTATTAATTCTTACTAAAAATCCAAAAAGAAGAATTAGTTTTGTTTTTAAAATAAAATAAATATAAGTTGGGCTTTTAAAGAGTTTATTTATTGATCGCGTTATTTTTAATAGGTTTAAAGTTTGGCTCTTTTTTTTAAAAAAAATCTTCTACATAAAGTTTAACGACAAAGGGAAAACCCAAACATAACATTTAAACTCGAGTTTGAAAGAACTTTTTGTATTGACGTCATTTATTAACTACAAAACCGGAACTTACCTGAAACTTAACTGAAATAAAAATGTAATTATATAAAATGCTAACATTTTTAAAGTAACTTGAATTAAATTTATTACATTTTTTTTTTATTTTAACATAAATTTTGGAAATTTTATCAGTAAAAAAAAAATTGTAAAAAGGAGCGTTTTGAAATTTTTAAAAGAATTTTAATCAAATTTAATCAAATAAATTTCTATAACTATGAATAATAATAAAATTAATTTAAATTTAAGAAAATAAATTAAATATATATTTTTTTAAAAAAAACGGAAAATAGAAAAAAGGATATCTATCTGTAAATATTCAACAATAAATATATAATATTCCACAAATGTTTTTTTACAACAATTAATGACAGTTCAATGTTTTCCGCATATTCTGTTTTAATAATAAGGGGTCCATAAAGGACTTACGCTAAAAATTCTGAAATTTGACACCCCCCTCCCTCTGTTGCCATGCGTACTTTTAAGATCCTCACCCCCCCTTAAAAAGTACGTACATTTTCATATATCCTCTCTCCACCCCAATTGAAAAAAAAAAAGGTGGAGAAGATAACCTAGATACTTTAAAAGTATCTAGGGTACATGCATGCATTTTTGAACATATACATGCATGCATTATTGAACATTATAGCAGCCGTGGCGCAGTGGTAGCGCACTTGTCTCTCCGTGGTTCGAACCCCACCTCTGGGCAAGTTTTGCGACATCGGTTGGGAAGGAGGCGTGAACTTCCTATTAAATGCTCTTCCGCGGTGCTCTGTGATAAGACCGTAAGGACTTCTTGGGGCACCTTAATCAACTTAAAAAAAAAAAAAAAAAAAAAACATGCGCACATGTCACTCCTTAAATACTGGCTCTGAGTATAATCAGTGCCAGTATATAAGGGGTGGCATGGGCGCCTGCAGGTTTTTCTGATGTTTCAGATAGGACACTTTCACACATTGTGCAAACTCCAAACTTAAGCATGTTTATACCTATGCCAAATGAGGAGACCTTGTAAAAAATTGGTATGGCTGAGAACTGTCAACAAATAGCCCTGAAACGCTTTCCCTCCTGCTAAAGCATGAGGGCACTTACTGTAGTAAAATTTTTTAACTTAACGATCTAAAATTAAATTCAAATTTATCGACAGAATTTAAATTTCCTTAAAAAATTTTGTAAATTACAAAATGTCGATGCAAAATGTACAACCCCTCATTTATTTATTTTTTTGGGGGTAGGGGTCGGAAAATTTTACATTAGTGCCCTCGCATTTGGGCAGGAGAAAGGATGCAAGCATTTGAGGGTTTTTTTGTTCCCAAACTACCGCCATAACAATTTTTTGCAAGGCCTCTTCAAATGGCAAAGGTATAAACATACTTAAGTTTGTAGTTTGCACAATGTGTGGAAGTGGTTTATCTGAAACATCAACAAGGCCTGATATTTGTCAGACTATTTATTACTTTATCAATACTTTTAAGCATTTTATTTTGGGTGCAGCATAACTAAATTGTTACTGAATAATTCAAATGTTTTAAGATTTTATTTTCATTAAAAAATTATTGCATAAAATTATTTTTGTACTTATGGTTTCTATGTTTCTAACTGTTTATTAAATAAGTTTGTTTTTTTTATATATTGTCCTTGGTGAATACAGTAATAAAAAATAATATGTTAATAAGATGTTAAAATAAAAAATTTTGTTAAAATTTTTTTAGGTATTTTTTAGATATGCAGATGTAACTTTTATATTTTGTCAATTATATTTTCATGTATTACATTTATTTTCAGAACATTATTGGTGGAAAGTTACCAAAACATGTTAAGGACTTAATTCAGAGGTAATATTTTTATTTCTTTATTTATATTTTTATTTGTTACATGTATATTCAGAACACTACAGGCATTAAGACCAACTGCAAAGATTTTGTCAATACTATTTTTAATATTTTATTGTATAAGTTATAAAGAGAACATTTTTTTTACAAAATTTGGCTAATTAGATCAAAAGCATTTTTTGGTACAAATGATATTTTGTTATAACTTGAACTGCATGGTACAACAAAGAAGTTATTAAAAAGGCGACATCGAATTATCTCACAAAGTAGAAAATCGAAAATACTTTCAATAACCTGTGTCAACTGACCATTTTTCAAAAACACTCAGCTATCTTTACCACCAAGGACTGATTTGTGCTTTTTTTTCTCTCATTCACTCTTTCTCTCTCTCTCTCTCTCTCTCTCTCTCTCTCTCTCTCTCTCTCTTTCTCTAATATTTATATACATGTATATATATATATATATATATATATATATATATATATATATATATATATATATATATATATATATATATACAATACATATATATATATATATATAGAGAGAGAGAGAGAGAGAGAGAGAGAGAGAGAGAGAGAAAGAGAAAAAAAAAATCACAAATCAAAAGTAGTCCCTGGTGGTAAAGATAGCTGGGTGTTTTTGAAAAGTGGTCAGTTGACACATGTTATTGAAAATATTTTTGATTCTTTACTTTGTGAGATAATTCAATGTCGCCTTTGTAATAACTTCTTTGTTGTACCATGCAGTTTAAGTTATAACAAAATAATTTCTGTGGCAAAAAAAGCCTCTGTAAAAAGAAAAACTGTTCAAAAATCTGAACTTAAGCGCAAAGTTACAGTTTGAAGTGTAGAACAAGAAATGTTATTTTTTCATTATGTCATTGTAAGTTTTAAATTTTTTTTTTCTATTTTAAGTTTTTTTTATTGTAAGTTAGTATTTGAATGCAGTTTTTTGAGAATTATTAGTTATGTAATATACTATATTGTAAATATATTCCGTACTATTTCAACATTTATGTTAAATATAATATATTTTTTTTTAGATGTGTTAATCGTAAATTAATTTTCAAACTAACGTTTCATTAAAATCCTAATCGAAATATTCAAATTTTGACAATTTAAATGTTTCAATTAGGATGTTAAAGGCATGGTGTTTTATAAGTTTTGTTATTTTAAATAATTTTATTTTTATAGTTATAATAGAAAATAAGTTTATTTTTTTATTTCAAACGATTTTTTGATCAAAGATTTGCTATCAATATTTTTTCAAAAAAAGGAAAAACTCAGGTGAGCATCAAATAACAAGTTAGACTACTTTCTTGTATTTATTATAGTTTTTTCTATTTAAAAATTAAACTAGTTTCACTTTAAGTTATTGTATATAATTTTAAAATCTGTATATAATTCGTATATAAATTGTATATAACTTTAAAATTTTGAAATAGAAGTATTGCAAAGTTTATCTTTTTTTTAGTTTAATTTCCATATTCAATTAATTGCCTGGACTAATATAATTGCCATGTGTGAATTAAATAAATAAAAGGAAAAAAAAACATCACAACACAATGTTATACAGTGTAACATAGTGCTTTATTGCTCTTTGCAGCGTAGAAATAACATCGTGAAAATGTCAGAAATACGTTGGTGATCATTTTTCTTACAACGTTTGGCCAACGTCATCAAAGTAACGTCAGCCTATGTTTTATTTCAGCCATTATTCCAACGTCTAAACAACGATAGAAGAGCCATTGTCTTAACGTCCTTTCGTTCAAACTATAATGTTTGCCTAACGTCTTAATAACATCTTTTTTCTTAAAATTTAACGTTGTTATAACGCCTATCCGACGTCATTCAGCTCAAATGTAACGTTGTCACAACGTCATTTTAAATCGTTGCAACAACGTTAGCAATATGACGTTTTTTTCGCTGTTTCATTTATAAACACCATACCAATGTCTTTCCAACGATACGGAAGACGTAATTTTTCTTATTGGGAAGGTTATTAAATAAAAATAAATTATCGACGCAATCCTATAGTAAGTATGAAATGAAATACAATCAATAAAATAAATATAAAAAAATTTAACATGACCTTGATATTTGTTGTAATTCTATTAGAATAGTCTTAATATTTTCTTTTGGTCATAAAACTTTTTTAAAAAATACAAGATGACGAAGTTTAATTATCAGTTTTTGTTAAAAAATACTAAATGCATAAAAATATATATAATAAGAAATTTGATTTACAATATAACATCAAATTTTATATAAAAAGATAAGTATAAAAAATATAAGGCTTAAGTATTGTATAAAGTGTATTGTTCCGTTTATATTATTTTTTCATCATAATTTAATCCCATAAGCTCCCTCAGTTTTTTTTCATTGTTACTAAGAGCTTTTTCATACAAAAGCATATCTTCTGGTAGATTGCGTTCTTTGCAATATTCTACAATATATTTATTGCGAGTAAATCCAACCATATTTCCGAACAATATTCTTGCCTCGTCATCTAAACTACCTAAGCGGGTAGGATTATAAAGATGATCTCGATTAGTATTTAACATAACTAAATCCAAAACCTTGAAATTAACATCATCTATTACTTGGGAAAAAATATTTAAAGCTTGGAAGAATCCACCTCGTAATAAAACTTCTTTCTCTGTTGGAAATTCGGATAAATCAGCAATATTAACTGCACATATAGTACTTACAACGCTCTGGTTGTACTTTTTTCGATAAAAATTTAATAGTTTGTTTTCAATATTTAATACACGAATTTTCATCAAAAGCGGTACTCTCTTATGAATTTCCATCGAACCCGGTACTCTCTTTTCTAGTTCATCGCGAACAAATTTAATAGCAGTTTTTAATTTAATACTGGATGACCATAAACCTAAAGGAATCGATATATATCTTTTTTCAATTGGCTGAAGCATAAGATCTTCAAAAACTTTAAAATTATCTGCAGGAATAACCATCCCACGATAAACTGTACCTTCAAATGATTGATGTTCAGGAAACCTATGTACTTAGTTAAAAAGATCAATGTTTAATAACTCAATTAAAAACACAACGTTTCTTATCTTTTCTTCTAAGTTTACTGATGAATCATCTCGGAATATGTTATTGGCTATTTTAAATATTTGAGCAAATCCTTCAACAGTTGTATATGTGTGTATAACACTGAATTCTTCTTTAAGAGGTAAATCAGCAGTGTTTTGTTCAACATTACACCAATTACGTTTACGTTCAAATATTTTAGACAAGGGATGAGATTTTATATCTTTAATGTCAAAGTCTTGCATGAAAAATTTTTGCAAGCTATTCATAAATTGTTTAAACAAATTCCAGTTTTCGCGAATGTAAAAAATCGATTTCCTAACAGCATCCATGCGTTTATGAACTAAATCTCCTTGATAAAAACAAACTAGATCATTGAGATTAGAACTTTTGCATATATCATCCTTGCTTGTATCTACAAATCGTAGTGAACGATTAACTTGTTCAAACATTTTAAACCTAAAATTACATTAAACAATATATAACAAAGGTTTGCAAGGGGGTATCCATAAAGTACGTACGCAGTAAAACCACTGTTTTAAGACCCTCCTTCCCCCTTGTACGTTGAAACGTTCAATAAATAAAAATATAAGAAACAAAAAAAAAAAAAACGTATTAGATTTAAACGAAACATAAATCACATTAATGGAATAGGTAATATATATTTTCTATAGTTTATAAGTATATATATGATGCTGAGGTGCAGCCTTTCACTTTGAATTTTGAGAGTAAAAAGTTACATTAAGATCTTCCATAAAATACGAAAGCTTTTATTTCGACCCTCATTCTTCACTCCCACGCATTTAGCTATACACTTTTTTCAGTACTTCCCTACCTCCCTCTAATTACCTACGCTTCTACCTCCCTGGACATTATATGTTATCTTTTTATAATTTAGCTCTCGTTACTTTTATAATTAACCTCCATCCCCCCAATTCTTATACGCTAATTATAGACTCCTATTCCCATCCGAGCGTACATACTTTATGGACGATCCCTAAGTATGATTCTTGTTCCGGCCAGAAAATTATTAACGGAAAATCCGATATTGGCCAAAATTCAAAATTTCCGATCCGAAACACCGTAGTTAATTCAAAGATTATAAAGTTTTATTAGAATTTTGTCTCCTCCAGCGATGGAAAAAAGTATTTTTTGTTTAGTTAAATTTAGGTATAATTTGTTTGCTTTAAACCTTAAGCAAGGTATAGTAACTCTGTGTTTACAATTTTAAGTAACATTTTCATTATGAGCTTAAAATAGATAAGTATCATCTGCAAATAAGAATGTGTGGTATTTCACGAGATATTGATATTGTTAGATATTTCGTAATTATGAGAAATATGTTGCTATCTTTTTGACAGGTAGCATTTAAACTATTTAAGGTTAGAGTGTTTAATTCCGCAGTTTTTTAATTTGATTAATGAAATATAATGATTTACAGTGTCAAAAGTCTTGGTGAGATCAATAAAAACGCCTAAAGTATGTTTATTTTCATCACAAAATTTAAGAATATCATGAACAAGATGAACATGTGCCTGATCAGTATCTTTATGCCTGATCAGTGATCTGTAAACTAAATTGTTTATTATAAAAGATGTTAATAATATCTAAGAAATAGTACAGTCTTATATACATAATTTGTTTTTTTTTGAGAAGCATGGTTTTACTGAAATAGATCTATAATTTGTAATAGAACTTGCATTTCCAGATTTTAGGACTGGTAACTAGACCCTAGACTCTCGCAACTTTTAGTGAGGAAAGATTGAAAGATTAAAAAATAAAGAAAAACTGAAAATGTGCAAAAGTGGAGTTTTTAAATAAAATATTGATTGAATTCTTATATTCCGGCTTACATCATTAACTCCATTACCTTTATTTGATTTTAATAAATTAACTGCATCAGGGAACTTATTATTTTCAGGAAACTTATTATTTTCAGGGAACCTATTATTTTCCATAAGTTTGTTATTAGAGGTTAAGTTTTTTTTTTTTTTTTTTTTAATTTTATTTTATTTTGCTGTTTATATAAATTACAATTTCTTTTCACCAAAAATAAAATATAATTACAAATGTACAAGTAATAAACAGTCAGGGGCTCAAAGAAGATATGGATGGCAAAATACCAACCTAATCTTTTCATAGAGCCCCTACAGATCATAACAATAATGTATGGTAATATATGGTTAACAAATCAAGTAGAAAATTTAGGAAAAAAAAAGAAATAGTAAAAAAGAAGATATAATATTTAAGAATAAAAATAGAGAAAAAAGAAGATGTACCAATTAAAAGTAAAAACACCCTCAATTAGTCAAAAAAGAAGATATAATATAGTGAATAAAGAACATATAGTTATATATATATATATATATATATATATATATATATATATATATATATATATACACATATATATATATATATATATTTATATATATATACATATACACATATATATATATATATATATATATATATATATATATATATATATATATATATATATATATATATATATATATACATATACACATATATATATATATATATATATATATATATATATATATATATATATATATATATATATATATATATATATATATATATATATATATATATATATATATATATATATATATATATATATATATATATATATATATATACATATATATATTTATATATATATTTATATATATATATATATATATATATATATATTTATATATTTATATATATATACATTTATATATATATATATATATATATATATATATATATATATATATATATATATATATATATATATATATATATATAGTTAAAAATGTATAATATTAATAAATACTAATAGTCACAAAAAGTTATAAAAGAATATATTTAAATACAAATTTCTAATTAATTATATGATATTAAATTTAACATATAATATATAAAGATTACATATAATATTTAAAAATACAAGCTGTTAAATAATCAGATATAATGCTAAAAAAATATTTTTGTAAACAAAAATAAAAATTAATCCGTAAGGTTTAGAACGTAAGTTTTTGTTTGAATCTGAAATGAATTTAAAGATTTTGCCATATTTAAATTGTTTTTCAGAAAAGAGTTCCATAGCTTGGGACCTTTATAAGTTATACTATATTCTGTGTATTTGTTTACTTTTTTAGGTAATTTATATGTGTTACTTTGATTTATTCTTAAGAAATACTTCTCATTTAAATTTTTATTAAATTTATTTATGAAGATTTCAGGAGTTAGATTATTGGTATATTTATACATAAAGTTTAGGTGTTGGAAAATATTTATCTGATATATGTTCATCATTTTCATATCTATCATTAAAGGTTTAGTGTGGTCCCCCCTTTTTTTTTTGTATATAATTCTACAAGCATGTTTTTGTAAGGAAAGAATTTTTTTAAGTTTTGTTGGTGGACAACTTGCCCACGTAATATTTGCATAAGTAATGTAACAATAAATAAGGCTGAAGTATATAAGCTTTAGACTATGTGAATTTTCTAATGGTTCTACTAATTTTTGATTGTATATATTTTATGTGTGGGAGCCATGAGAAATGATCTAAAGTATGATTCAAAGTTTTACAGTTTTGTTTTTGTTTTTTCGCGACCAAACTTGGGCCCGTATTAACAAACGCATAATTGAAAGAATTAGAGATTAAAGAATCATTAGTTTTTCATTACTCTTTAAAAATAATTTCTCAATTATAAAATGAGTGTTTTAGGAAACACCTCTTTCATTATGCGCCACATTTTTTGCACATCATTATAAATGGTAAATAGTATAATGATGAAACCAAAAATTAATAATATTTAAATAATATCTAAACAATTCTTACAATTTAGTTGTAAACACCAAAAAGATTTAACAAATTTATTCATATATATAATTTTTGGAGTTAATTTTTTTTGTATACAAATTAATCGGTTCGCTACGAATCAAAGTTAAAGTTTAGTATATTAGAAGAATTTGCGTAAAGATCAAATACTTTTATTAAAATAAGTATTTTTAAAATTGAAAATATATTGTTACTCATTTTTTAATACGCCAACTACAAAAAAGTGTTTATCTTATTATTGTAAAATATTATTCATCAAGTCTTGCTTAAAATTTTCAAATGTTTTGCAAACATTTAAACATGTTTAAAGATATTTTCTTATAACACTACTTGTTTCGTTTTACGCAACATTAATTTGTATTATTAAGTTAAATCTTAATAATAATTCCCATAATTCCCTTCGAATTTGAACAAACTTTGAAGTATGCAATAGAGTGCTGGAATGCAAAAGAAAAAAGAGGAATTTTTTTTACTTTGTAAATTACATTAGGTGTTAAATAAATGAAATACTAATAATAATTATGACAAAAGTTATTATGATTCTATTGTTTTCAAACAATAAAAGTTGAAACTTTGAAATTATGTTGAAAACAGTTTCTTCATCGTGCCAAAATTAATCAAGGGAAGGTGCAATCAGCAGTAAGCAGAAGATAGTATGGCTAAAAATGAGGTTTTGAGTTGAGAAAAAAAGACCAAATATTATAATATTCTTCGGAGAAATGTAACAAAGTGCTGCTACGTTGACTAATTTACAACTTCCCCAACCCTCATCCTCAGTCGATGTAGCAACATCTCCTTGCATGTTCTACCTAAATTAGTAAATGTTGCAGCGCTCATTTAAATGTTCTCATTATATCAGTATAATGTCTTGGCTGCGTTTTTTAAAACCTAACATCCTCATTTTGAGCCATACTATCTTCTGCTTACTACAATCGGCATAGGATAGCAGATTGTCGGTGTAGCGGTAAGTTAAGACTTCAAAAAATTAGGACATAGTAATTAGTCAGCAAATGTTAGCTAACGAGTACCTTTTATTTTTATATACAGATTGGAAAAAAAAATTTCTAGGCCTTACTTGGCAAAAAACACATACGTCACCTCTCTTTAAGTTCTTTTCAGGAAAATTGTAAATAGAATTTAGAATAGAAGCAAAGTTGATTTGAACACAAAAAAATGTTTAAATAATACGCTATATCACTTTTTTTATATATAAATAAATAATTAATTTTCATACACGTGTGCTGTTTCATGGTGAAAAAAAAAAATTGATTTTGATAATATAGAAGAATATATTAGAAATAAAACATACCCGTCTATTATATTGCAACAGGTTTACGGGTTTAAATCAAATTTTTATTAATTTGGAAACTGCAAGACGGACATTTTGAAATGATTTGAAGCCAAATACGGACATTCATTTATACGAAAAGAATATTTATCAAAGAGAGTTGAAAAGTTTATCAAAATACAAATGGAAGTTATTAAAGACGTGGTATTGGAGATTCTGAACACTCCAACTCAATGGCCTCTCAAAAAGAAAAAACTCTACGAGCTGATATCAGTAAGTATATTTAGAGTCTTCAAAGGCAGAATTGAAATTTATACCAATACTACCAAGAGTTATGAAGTTGGATGTTTGTAATTTTAAAACAAGTTGGAATGAACATTTGTAATTTTCCAGTAGTCGATGGGTATCCTCGTTTCATCTTCTTGATTGACTATTTTTCGAAATGGTTGGAGGTCAAACCAATGAAGGACAAATCAGCTAAAACTATGTCCTAATTTTTTTAGGAGGTGGTGTGTTTGCATGTGTTCTTTAAATAAAAAATCAATGATCAAGATAGAGAACTTCTAAACAAGGCGTATAACTTACTACACTAAATAACTAAAGTAAAACAGAGAGTTACGTCTGCTCATCACATTCAGGAAAATGTATTGGTAAAACGTCAAAACCGAACAATAATGAACTATTTGGTATAGGTATTGGAATGTAATATTAAAATATGGCCGCAAACTATTGAGGGTATTTTTTTGCTTATCGCGTAAGTTAACATTCTTCTAATAACTACTCTCCATTCATGCTGATGTTTAATTGAGAGGTTTTGGTAAGTAATATAAAGCATTGCTAGGTATAAAATATAAGCAATAAACAAGGAAGGAGATGAGAAAAACTGAGAAGAAGATAGAGATATAGAGCAGCCATTAAATCTCAAACTTTTTGATGTCATCTTTTCATTAACTTTTCATTTAATTATTTTTGATGTCATCTTTTCATTAACTTTTCATTCAATTATTTTTGATGTCATCTTTTCATTAACTTTTCATTCAATTATTTTTGATGTCATCTTTTCATTAACGAGTAAAGTCAGAGCAACAATGACGTTCAATGCAAACGAAAATATAAAAGCTGCGCAGACGAAAATATAAAAGCTGCGCAGACGAAAATATAAAAGCTGCGCAGACGAAAATATAAAAGCTGCGCAGACGAAAATATAAAAGCTGCGCAGACGAAAATATAAAAGCTGCGCAGACGAAAATATAAAAGCTGCGCAGACGAAAATATAAAAGCTGCGCAGACGAAAATATAAAAGCTGCGCAGAAAGATAAAAAAAAAAAATTGTGATAGGAAACATTCGTCGAAAAAAAAATTTAAGGTAGATTACATGGTGTTATTGAAAAACAAAAAACTATTTGATCGTAAATATTTGGAGGTTTTCACAAAAATGGCTTGCAAATATGCAACAATAAAAGATGTATCAGGTTTGACTTCTAAGAAAATATACAAAATGTTCAACTTAAAATTTATATTCAAAGAGCAGATGATAAATTAAAATTAATATCAATTAAAGAATGTGCAAAGTTTTAGATTCATTCATTCATTTATTCATGCACCAGACAAAATTGCTGACATGATTTTGATTTATTCCACGCAAAAATCGAAGAACTCAATCTCATATACAAGTATGAGACCCATGCAAGTACCAAATTAACGTGACATAAGTGGGCTCGTTTAATTGAAAGAAAAGGTATTATCTTATTTCCAAAGATATACATTGATACGTAGAAACATATTGGGAAACCCTCTAATTATAAAAATGAAAGAAATATTGTATGTACACAAACGCTAATAAGAACTTTCGAAAAACCTGATGGACTAGCTAGCCAACTTTTAAATTGTTAAAATCGAGCGGTCTTTTTGGCTTATTTAGGCACCTCGGAAACACTCCTGGTATACTTAGGTTGAATCTTCTAGAATATAAAAGTATGCCAGCTATATTAATCATTTTTGCAAGTTACGTCTTACGAGCTCAAGAATGAGCTGTAGCTCACAGAGGTAGATAATGAAAATCTGGAAAGTAAAGGGTTAGGGTTAGGGTTAGGGTTAGGGTCAGGGTTAGGGTTAGGGGGTTAGGGTCAGGGTTAGGGTCAGGGTTGAGAATGAGCTGTAGCTCACACAGGTAGATAATGAAAATCTGGAAAGTAAAGATGGCTGAACAACAACCTTATGAACGCAGGATAAAAGTTAATTTGTAAGGCTGTTGGTAGTCATGAAACTTACCAATCAGTATTAAACTGTCAGAAAACGAAGTTGACATACTTCCCAATTGGCGGCAACCACCTTCAAATATTGCATCATGGTAGTTGTCATTTGCTATTAGTATTCACTATAAAAGGCAGGGTTCAAATGTCTAATTGACTGTACAGTAAATTATTATCGACCTGGAAAACAATTTTAAAATCCAATTTATAATACAATAATTAAATGTTTAAATATTACAACTTTTTTAATATTTAAATATTTTTCTATTTAGCGTCTATAATTCGTAACAAAATTATTTGAATATAATTTATAGAGTTTTACTTCAAATGTTTATGAAAAATATTTCGGTTGAAAACAATGTACGAAAAATAGCTTAGGGTTCATTAAAGGATTTCACTCTTTTCTACCCAATTTTACCTTCCCTCTCCTTAAGAAGGGTGTCTTAAAATTAGGACCACGCTTCCTATTTAAAAAGTAATAAAAAATTTATTTATCTTGATCTTGTTTCATATTTTACGGACTTTTTTTTGACAAACTTTTGTCAATAAAAATTGCCATGACAACAATAATGTTTTCTTATCTCTTTTTGTCATTTTTATCACAACCCCTCCCCTTTTTGCAAGGCGTCCTTTATGGACGACCCCTTGAGCTATTGAGTTACCGTTTTTTAAAAAGAAAACAGCGAATGTTAAAAAAATGCAACATTTTATTCTATTAAACTCTATTGTTCATTTCTACTACTTTATATTATGCTGATTATCAAAAGTTTCTATCTCTATCATCAGTTTAAAAATTGCTTTACTGCAAAATTCTTGCAGTAAAACATTGTTTTGGGAAATTATGATTGTATTATGATATTTTAATTTCATCAATCAAGATATTATTTTTGTCAATTAAAGCAATAACTTTTCCATTTGCCTTCCTGTTATTGTGTATTAGGATATTAGTTTATTTACAAAATACTAGTCTAAATTATTTACTCGTAACATTTTAATTATAAATTTTGGTCTCATAAAAACATGTAATTGTGACAGCAAATAGAATTGTTGTAAAATTTGATAAATCATTTACTGCTTTAAAAAAGAACTCCCCGTGATAAGTTTGCAAAGGTTTAACACTTCATCTAGTAATAGTATAAAGTGTTTTTGACCATTTCTAAATTTTGAAAAAACACTAAAGAATAAAGTATAATTATCAAAAGTTTCACACAGTAAATGTGTGAAACTTTTAAAGTTGTCTTGTGTCAAGGTTGCAATAAATATGTCAGTGTAGCGATACACGTTTCAGTGTAGCAATACACTTGTCAGGACAGCATACTGAAACATTGAAAATCATTTATTAGTATTTAACTTATTAAAAGTAGTACTGTTTTCATGATTTTTTCTTTTGATTGTGAACAACAGCTATTCAAACAAGTGTAATAAACTAACAAATCATTAGGTCTTTCTTGAGATAACTAAATGCAAAAATTTTCAAACGAATCAATTTCGTCAAACTCCTAGAATTTTAAAAGTTCATCTTCTTTTACTAAATT